AACGTACATATGTAAACTAGTTTTACGTAGTAGGTTTTAGTATTACTAGCTTCTACGCCTATATTCTTTTCCATATTATTTATGTATCTAAAATTTAAAGTTAGGTACGTTGGTTAAAGCCATAGAGGGAAAATCCCGGTGGTTATATCCTCTATGGTTAAAAGCCTTGAAAGGTTTAAAATTAAAAACAAACAATCTTATTTATTATTGTCGCATTTTTTGATACTTACTTATTACTTAGTCAGGTTATTTTTACGCGACTTTTACTATAAACACAATTAGTGCCTTCTATGAATATACTGGGACAGAAAGGTTCTCGAGTGGAGGCCACGTACCGGCAAGCGCAGCGTAGGACGTCCACCCGCAAGGTGGACAGACGACCTGATTAAGGTCGCAGGAAGCCGCTGGGTGCAGGACGCTTCCAACCGGCCTATCTGGAAGTCAATGGGGGAGGCCTATGTTCAGCATCGGACGTCCTGTGGCTGATATGATGATGATGATGATGATGATGAATATACTTACAATTATGTTACGATCCTTTTTTTTCTCAATTTTTAAAAATCTTTTTAGCTTCTTTTGTAATTAACTTTCGTAAAACATTTATTTTTATTATTGTACTGAGTTTTAGGTTCCATAGAATTTTCTTTTGTCTGTAGTCTGTTTCTTCTGATGTGATGTGAAGAGATCAGGTCATCATTAGGTCCACGTTTAGTTTACACCGAAATAAAAAATGCTTCCGATTAATGCGTCGTTCTTTTTGTTTTAGGTACGTATTTTGTAATTATTAGACTGTCTACGTACTATGAAAACCGAACTGGGCGTTTTACCACTTTTGGCTTTTCGAAATTGTCAATAATACCGATCAATCTAAATCTGTTAAAATTAGTGTCATTGAATTGATTGGTTCATTTTATTATGTAAATCGTGCTTATTTAGGAAATAGAGACAAAAGTAGGAAACTTTAGAAGTGAAATGCGAGGATCCTCCGACCAGGCCAAGTAATTAGGTAATGTATACGCCTCGATCAGGCTTAACGGTGAATAGAAAAACCATGTACACGGATTGTTTTGCAGTTCAGTATGATTTAAGTGACTGACTGCCTACTTTTCGATAACATTTTTTATAAAGTATTTCTATAGGTTAATATTAGTATATTATAAAGAGGTAAAATTTGTAAGTTTGTATGTAGGGGGTAATCTTTGGAACCACTGGTCGGATTGCCACAATTCTTTCACTGATAGATAGCTACAATGTTCCTGAGTGCTATAGGCTATAAAACATCACGCTACGATTAAATGGAGCTGACAGGGGGTGAAACCACGCGAGACGAGAGTACCTTATGTTATAAATTATGTTTTAAGTTCATTTTGAATTCAACTGCTATTTGTGCTGGTTTACCTAAGGCGTTTCTAAATACAACTTTTGTGTAGATATTATTATCTTTTTGTGGTTTATTCTTTAGACGTGACGTTTTATGAGTTGTACTTTATTTCGAAGGGTATAGATATCTACTTTAGTAGGTGTGTGTGATCAATTATTACTAAATTAAGACTTCATAACTAACTCATTGTTTTGAAATAATTAAGATGGTGCAATAACTGGATGAATGCTGGCTGATCCGGTTCAAAATTCTGCGCGGAACGATTCTTTAATAAATCGGCAATTGTTTTTCCGAGTCTTAGTGTACCTATTGTGTTAATCATTATCCATCCATCAACTTACCTACCTACGACACAGGCAGAGGAGAAAATTTTAGAAAAGAGATTCCAGTAGGTACATAAGTTCTATAATATTTGTGGTCTTTTTTTCAGGATTGGTTGTCAACCGAGCATTCGTATGAGCTGATGATAAATCAATCGGTATTGCTTAACATCAGGTCATACGGTTAGGGTTTTGGGGACTAGGGAATGGTGGTATTGGGCAGAATAGGGCCTCTAGTAGAGCCTCACTCACACGACGTAACGTAACACAGGTTTTATATCACACCGGTTTTCTGCGGTCTTGGTATTATTCAGACGGGCCGGCCTAACCGTGCCGAAGCATAGCTCTCCCACACATTAGCATGGCTCTTCCATACATGTACTTCTACATAATTTAATATTAACATTTGTCGGTCTTCGAAAGGGTAGTTATTCACGAGGCTATTTCCACTAAACGTAAAAAAGTTAAGTTTTTTTTTAATAAAGAAATAAAAATAATTAAAACTCCGCTACACCGAGCAGTTATAGGTAAGTGTATCGCCGATTCCTTTGGGGTTAGGAATGAACCTGAGTATTGGGAGACTAGCTATTCCCGCGCGGTTTCACTCGCTGCTCGTCTTCATTTGATTGTAGCGTGATGTTTTATAGCCTATAGCACTGGGGAACATTGTAGATATCAATGAGTGAAAGAATTTTGGAAATCTGACCAGTGGTTTCAAAGATTACCCCCTACATACAAACTTACAAATTTTACCTCTTTATAATATTAGTAGGTATAGATAAAGTGAGAAATGAGTATATTAGAGGAAGTTTGAAAGTGGCGCCAGTGACTGAAAAGTTGAAAGGGAACCGTTTGTCTTGGTATGGCCATGTGAAAAGGAGGGATGAAACTCATGTTACAAAAAAGCCATGAGTATAAATGTGGAGGGATGGAGAGGGAGGGGGAGACCAAAGAAAATATGGATGGATTGTGTGAGGAGTGATATGGAAGACAGAGGAGTTAGCGATAGCGGGACGGGTGACAGGACAGAATGGAAGAAAAAAACATATTGCGCCGACCCATAAAACGGGACAAGGGCAGGAAGATGATGATGATATTAGTATAGACGTGCGGATGAGGATTGACTAAACTACTGGAAAATTATTTCAAGGTGCAATGAATTTCTGGTTATAAGTTTGAATCCACTCAACAAAGCTCGCAAACCTGCTCCATGTGTGTAGGGATTTTGGATCAGTAGGTAGTGAGCACTTAGATATAGGCTGATGATGTCGAACCATTATTATTAACTCAGTACTAGAGTACTTAAAAACACTATCTAATATAAAGGAATTTCTTTTAAGTATTAAGTACCTGTATAGCATTAAGATGTAATCTAATGATTAAGTGTGGGAGAGCCAAGCTTCGGCACGAATGGGTCGGCTCGACCGGAGTGATACCACGGCCTCACAGAAAACCGGCGTTAAACAACCACAGCGTTGTGTTTTGCCATGAGTCAGGTTGCCGGAGGCCCAATCTCTCCCTCTCCCCTATCCCTTCCCAATTCTCAAATTTCCGAAACCCTTATCCCTAAAAGGCAGGCAATGCACTCGTAAGTCCTTTGCTGTTGCGCGTGTCTATGGACGGCGCTGATTGCTTACCATCAGGTAATCCGTCGGCTCGTTTGCCGACATATACCATGACGAAATGACATTATTATAGATATATAAATATTTAAATATAAATTGTAAAATGTATTAGTAATCACGTAACTCAACAACAATGCTTGGATAGATATTGCCATTTATTTTTCTGTTGCGTTTATTTTTGTCAGGAGAAAATATTAGAAAACAAAAAATTTTTTCGAGGCAGACAGCTCCATTTCTTCGTAGCGTGATGTTTTATAGCTCATAGCACTCAGGAAAATTGTAGCTATCTGTCAGTGAAAGAATTTTGGCAATCCGACCAGCGGTTCCAAAGATTACCCCCTACATACAAACTTACAAATTTTATAACTTTATAATATTAGTATAGACTTTAAATGTAAGTATAAATAACGCCGTGGTGCCTCAGAGGTTAAGGCGTCCGCTTCTCATTAATGAGATTGCGGAAACCTGGTAAGTACCAATGTGATTTTTTCCGAGTTACATGCATTTTCTATGATTATTTAGACACCACTGACATACCTACGGTGAAGAAGGAAAAAATCGTGAGGAATCCTGGACTTAGGTAAAATTTTTAATTATAAGTTTGAAATCGCTAATCCGTGTTGAGCAAGCATTGTGATTAATGCTCAAACCTTCTCCGTGTGAGAAGCGTTTGCTCCGGTACACTTATAGGCAGTGAGGATGTGATGTGATGATGTAAAGTGTTAGCATTAAGACACCACTGACAAACGGTGAATTATACAGAAGTTTGATTTCACCAATCCCTCCTTGAGCTGGAGCGGTGAATAATGCTTAAACCTTCTCCATATGAGAAGGGGCCTTTGCTGAGCAGTGGGCACTTATAGCCTTATGATGTACCTATGTATGTACTTAGGTATGGCACAGCCTGTTTTACATAGGTAATATCAAAGGGTTAAAAATTTGGCTGATATTGATTGAAGAAAGAAAGAAGAAAGAAAAAAACTTTATTTCGCACGCTAAAACATGTGACACATGAGATTCTGTACATACAGTTTATAGACTGCCTACCTATCTAGAAGTTGGCCTATAAGGCGTTGTGACTCTTACGAAGACCTGAAAATGAGTTATTAGTCACTATTTGAATGATTAATTTATTGTAACTTACCAGCTTTCAGATAACAACGCGTGGAACTGCAAAGTTTGGAGACAAAAAGTTTTTTATTGAATTAAAACCGAGTACCTAATCTTTAATGTTTTTTTTTTACTTTTCTTTTGAGTTAATGTAAAACAGGTTAATTTTATCGCTGACACAATCTAAGTTTTTTAATTAAACTAGGCACTGTATTTTAGTATTACGCTTCAGTACGGCAATCAATCCATTTAGGTTAGGTTGAGACAGTGGTCGTAAGCAGACTGAAGGAGAATTGTTAAGTCAATTACAAAATTCAAGAAAATTCTAATTCGTTTCCGTTTATTTAAGTAGCTGGTAAGAACACAGTCAATAACTGTTTAAATAAATATATTTGCGAAAGAAAAATACCGGTCAATAATGTTGAAATTACAAATTCGAGCCGCAAGTAGCGGCGCGAGGCGGAGTCGCATGCGATGTGTAATCTCGAAATGAATCCTTAATTGACCTATTAAGCTAAATCAGTCATAACTCAACACATTGAATGCGCATTTAAATTACTTATACTAATTAAAGTTGCCATTACAGGAGGCAGCGGAGCGACTTTTCTCGCCGCCCTCTTCATTTCCCCTCGCGGCTTTCCCGGAGGAGGCGCGCACTCCGCCAATCAACACGACCGCCATATTGTTAACGGGGCGGAGTCTCCAACACAACACCTTCCATCTCGCTCTATGTTTTAGTTTTCCCGCTCGCACGCGACGCGCGCTCATTGGCGGGCCGGCAATTAAGCGCGGGAATCCGAATTCTATTTTTGAAGTAAATGTTTTTTCAGCGGCAGTTAGGTCGCCAGTTGCGATGACACCTGTCCGCGAAGGTTCGCATTCAATCATAGGGCCATCAAAACTTGGTCGCGTTACATAGAGTAAATCTTTTGGGATTTATGTCTGTGGGTTAACGCGAGGATGCTGTGTCGATTGATTTATTTGATGTTTTGTTACAAATTGATCGATAAATCTGTTTGTATCGAGGTGGGCGGTTGCACCCCTCCCGGTTTACGTTAAACATTTTCTTGCGTTGATAGTTTTATAGTTATCTAAGGCAGTAAGACATGTTTCGGTGTATTGCGTAATGCGTTCGTTCACTGGTGCATAATGTTGGGCCTGTTGCATCTAGTTGCCAGCTCTGAGAGTTCCGGCTCAATTAATATAACTGTGCCAAGATAATCTATCTAATTAATTATTTTTTGTTGCCTATCCTTGTTCATTGTATCTTAACATGATATCTTTACCATCATAGTGTTTTGTATAAGTTCTCTTTAAATGCCTATGTGATTTAAAACTATAAAAAGGTTTGTAAAAAATAACAAGCTACTAAACGATACTTTTGTGTAAAACTATTGAGAGGAGTTGTATATTCTAGTTGTAGTAGTTGTATTTTGTATATTCCTCTAGTTGGCTGACTACTTCTGGCTTGTCGTCATTGATCCTCTAGGATACGGAAGACAACAACAGAGCTCCAGCTTGGAAGCTGTAGGTATGGAAGTTGTTCTTAAGATGCAGTGGGTAAGGCAAGCCCCCTTGCTGCATGTGCATATGCATGATTGCATAGGAGTCGTAGGAGTGATTGTATCCTGCAACAAGCCTGGATTTATGTCGCGGAATTAAAACTAAATATTTTTCCTAATGTGTGGATTTTCGCAAAATAACGCCTGATTCTATAAAAAATGTCAAAAACGATACTTTTCTATGAAAAAACTGAGTTATGACGTCATAGTATTATTGCGTCAAATAGCTTACTTATTTCTTAATAATTAGCTACAAAATATCTAAAACTTAGTGTAGGTATCGATCGATGAATAAAAGAATAGTTATTTTTCAATGTTTTATTGTATTGAAACGTCGAATGGATTAATTTTTGACCTAGGAAACTACCAATTGAACTCGCATCCGACTCAAAACCCCGAGATATTTAAAACGCTTAATGATAAGGCACCTACCTAATTATCTATTTGTAACAATGTTTTAACAAATCCTTATCAATATTATTTTGTGGTCTATGATTATTTAAACACCACCAACAAACAGTGAAGGAACACATCTTGAGGAAACCTAGACCTAATTATAATTCCTAATTATAAGTTTGAAATCCCTAACCCGCCTTGAGCAAGCATTATGCTCAAACCTTCTCCGTTTGAGAAGAGGCCTTTGCTCAGTAGTGGGCACTTATAGGCTAATAATGATGATGATGATACAACATATCTGCTTATCCTTTAAAGAAGATAAAGGGTACATCAATATCTGTTAGACATGCCATCTGTTTAATAGTCTGTCTTTCCTTCAAAAGTTGTGGGAGAGCCATGCTTCGGCACGAATGGGTCGGCTCGACCGGACTGATACCACGGCCTCACAGAAAACCGGCGTCAAATAACCCCAGCGTTGTATTTCGCCGTGTGAGTGAGGTTCTTTAATCCCCAAAAGGTCGGCAACGCACTCGTTACTCCTCTGTTGTTGCGGATGTCCATGGGCGGCGCTGATTGCTTACCATCAGGTAATCCGTCTGATCGTTTACCGACCTATCACATACAAAAAACCTATGATTTCTGTGTCTAGCTACCTAGTAACATAGGTCACGTTTTCCTTTGACTTCGCAAACAAAGCCGCAGGGTAAATGCTAGTGAGATATAATTTGTTTAATTATAGTGGCATCTCATTAATTTTATCCAATTAGTTGCAATAAAAGTTCGTTTGGTTAACTAAATGATTTAGTTGGTGGCTTCTGCAATATTTTACTGGGTTATGGGCCCCGTAGGGCAGTTTTTTCGGTTGGAATGTATTGACAACATGACTGAATGTATGGTTGAGTCAGTAATTGCAGAACCGGTTGCTAAGCAACCAGATACAGTTCATCTTTAACTTTAGAGAACACTTATACACCTATATTGTAGCTATGGTAGGTACCGTGTGCCTTTACTACATAGTATAAAACAAAGTCGCTTTCTCTGTCCCTATATCCCTGTGTATACGTCAATCTTCAAAACTACGCAACGGATTTTGATGCGGTGTTTTTTAATCCATAGAGTGATTGAAGATTATGTTTCATTTATAACAACATCAATTAAATAGTGGAGAAATTTAGTATCAGCTTTGTACTGTTATAAGTTATAATAGCCCTAACATACATTAATATAAAACCGCTGACACCGCATCCCCGTCGCTCACGTGGATGCGACACGTTTACTTAACATTACACATTTTATTTCATTTATTATAATGACACACTTACTTTGGACCTCGTGGCGGACACACTAAGGGTTTTGTAATTTTACTATTTTCTTATTATATTTCTAGACAGTCTAAAAAGTGTTTTTTAAGCGAGTAAGACTTTACCTGATAACAGTACCCGTACGAAACCAGGGAGGGTCGTATTCAATAAATGACGTTTCTCGGGGTCTTTCGAATTGGCTGTATCTAAGTACAAGTAGATATATTTTGAAAAAAAATAGAAAACCTTCATACCTACAAAGAAAACTACAGATTTTTATTGTTTAAATGTAAATTTAACGAAAGTTTTAACACGATTAGATAGGTATAGTCTAGTCTTGTTTAAAATCTTCTACGAAGTGGTGCGTTGCTTTCGACTTTTTTTATGTGATAGCTAGGCAAACGAGCAGGCATATTACCGGATGGTAAGCAATCACCAATCATGGACAACCACAGTATGGCTTGGCAACAACGGAAGAGTTAAAATGACGTTACCTTTAAATATCTACAATAATACAATCTAATTTAATATTATTTTTGCTGGGTCAGCCAATTAACACGCTGGGTGAGATGGCCTGATCCAGCTATCGGCCATCCGATCAACCATTTTTTGGGAGCGGAACAATACAACCTTGCGCCGCCGACTACAGGACATCTTGTACGCTTGACGACTCAACCCACGCTATAACGACCTGACTCCAGAAGAGCTTAAAACATGTCAAAAAACGCGATACGTGTGCTTGGACTTCTCGGTTTCTCCTTGGATCTATTCTTTTTTTTATTCTTTATTTATTTAGGGACAGTAATAATCACTATGGGTTTATCAGTCCCATCGTATCCTGAATATATACATTCTACTCATATCAAGGTTATGAATCTAAACAGACTCTTCGCATCATCGCAAGGATCTATTCTTGTTATAATCCATAATGTTGCAATCTGCATGAGAGTCTTTGTCTACCCCTTCAATCCTTTGGGGGTTAGGAGGTTCGGCGAGTCCTCTGACCACACAACGATCACCATTCTGGCTTCCATCATCATTATCATAATATCAGCTATCATTATCATAAGAATCCACTGCAGAACTTCGCTAACGACTCCTCAAGCAGTCATCCAAAGATTCCCACTATCAATACTTAAATTTACTTCACGGTTGACACAGTTTGATTCACGCACGGAGCAACACTGGGTGATCTACAAATTGTAATGTCTATGTTTGTAAAGCACCTACATATGACACAGGAGAAAATTATAGTGTAGGGCAACGTTTCTGTATAAAGAAAATTTTTTTTACGTAAGTCCATTTTGTCAGTCCAGTCGGTAAAAACAATGCATACGTAATTGATAATTGGGTAGTTTCCTAGGTCAAAAATAAATTAATTCGACGTTTTAATACGATAAAATATTGAAAAATAACTATACTTTTATTCATCGATCGATCGATACACTAAGTTTTAGATATTTTTTAGCAAATTTTTCAAAAATAAGTAAGCTATTTGACGCAAAAATGCTATGACGTCATAATTCAATGTTTCATACAAATTTCATAGTAAAGTATCGTTTTTGACATTTGGATAAAAGTATTGAATTTGACTAGTTGGAAACTACCGTATTATAGTAAGAATTCACTTTCGATCTCTCGTGTAAAATAAATGCACAAATATTAATGACAATAGGCCTTTCACCCCGTGCCTGGACCTGCTCCAGGTTGAGGCCGCGGACTTCAGCCATATCGGATCATCTGTGGGGATATGGGGCTCTATAATTAAAAACAAAACCTCTATGTAGCACGTGTAATAATAAATGTAATTTTGATTTTACAGATTCATCAATGAAACTTAATTAATATCGGAATATAGCCTTCCTGTTGCTGGACAAAGGGCTCTTTTCTAAGGTAAGGAAACGACGGAAAACGAAACGATTGAATCCTAATCGATTTGAAGATAGGAACAATATTTTATATACCTACACAAAAGTTCAAGATTGCTCTTTTCCATTACAATACATTATATGTTGTCATAAACAATTTACAAGGTTTTCTCCATTGGTTCAGCAAACAATGCACCATATTGTTTTATTATTTATCATATCGGAGCTTTTAGCGATGTGTTGACATCGGTAAGTACCCTTTGACACATGTTACGTCGGCCAGCGCCGCACTCGAACTGAGTGGAGGCTACTAGGAATACACAGCGTGATCGAAAAAAGAATATTAAAAAAAGAAAATATAATATATATTAAATATGCGTGGCCAGTATTTCAAGATCTTTATGAAAAAAGAGTGTTGAATTTTATTTCGTTTTTGTTTTGTTTGTGGTAACGGAAAAAGCTTGTAAGTATCGGCTAAGTTAGACTAAGGAATATTGACCTATTTTCTTTGTACCTAAATTTGTCTATGTCTTAAGACTGACAGAGCAAGCTTATATTCTTAGAACTGGATCCTTTTGTAAAATTAAGTTGATATCAAGAAGATTAGCAAGATGTCTCTTTCTGCTTGCCTATATTGTATTATTATAATTGTTTGTGTGTTTCAAAAGCAATAAAATTGTGCTTCATCGAAGGCTGTAAATCGCTAATTACTAGGCGAGATACGAGCCGAAGCAAGCCCATAACAAATAAAAAAAGTAGAT